GGTTTAAAATGAGTAAAACCAAGATAAAGTCAGAATCAATAATCATTTTGAAATTTGCCAATTATGTCTAAAGTTAGATGTGAACCCCTCCATCTGCAATATGTAGATTATAGGATGAACCTTCGACGTCCAGAGAAGCCTGGTCGTTCATTTATAAGTTCTAGTGTGTTGCCTTCAATATGATCTTGAAACTTTGCAAATGTGAGTTCACTGATTCTGACAGATGAAAATTCTAATGACCAAGATGATTTATTCTTTTTTAATTATAACATTTTTTTAAAAAATCCTAAAAGCCAGAATGGGGAGCTTAATTCAGATTAATTGCAGCGGAAACACCATTTTTATAGCAAAACGTAGAAATTCTACTGTCAAAATATAGTTATTGTGAATTTAGCGAATTTAATTTCAGGTTTCTTTGTTTCTTTAGTTTTAGCATTCCATTTCAAACTAAATTAAATATTGGTTCGAAATGTGTTATCAAGCCTGAAAGGACACACTGCACATTTTGTTGACAAGTTAAAAACTGTCTTCTCTGATGCAATACTGCCATCTAGTGGTAGTCTGGAGCTGATGTTCCCACGGTTGCATTTTGTTGCTGTGATTCAGACCCAAGCTTTTGGAATCCAAAATCAGTTTCAATCAGATAGAGTGAAATCAATATAAATTTGTATGCTGCTCAACTCTCACCAAGGCCCATAAAAGAATTTTTAAAAATGACAAGGATAACAAAACCAGACAGGAACACAACGAAAAAAAACTCACACAAATCTAAAAATTGCCCCTTTAATGTTTTTCTTATTTCCAGCATTGATCCATTGTACTGTTATACATCTTAGATAGTTTCTCTGGCTTCATATATCAATGGTACATGATTTTAGAAAAAATCTCTCTTAAATTATAACACAATGAAAATTTTAATTCTTTTACCCATATTCCTCCCATTGCTCAATCTGTATACAGCAGTATAACAAAAATTGTTAGCCCATTTTATCATCCAATGTTTCGCATGTTCTTTTCTATTTCAAATCTTAGCAAACATTTATAATCAGTTGCATATTAGGCAATTTCAAATTCCATCTTATATACTGTAGTTCAATTCCAATTACTTTTTTCCCCATATTAAATCTTTCTCTTAATTGCATATATAAAAACCATTGAAACTATATCCCCCTGCAGTTAAATGTTTTCATAACTTTAAGTTTTCTATATCGCTTTATTAGCAAATCTTGATGTGTAAAGCTTTTCTTTGCCTGTGTTTCCTTTCTATAAAATGGTTTTGTACTCAAACCAATTGAGGTATTTTTAAGCGCAGCCTGGGATTATTCTCTATGTGACACTTTTCACATAACGTTTTTTAAAGTCTATGTAAACCTTACTGCAGTATTAAAAGCATGCCAAAGTTCAGGTTATTTTCTTCTAATTCTAACATTATTTTATTTATCAGCAATACCACTGGCAACATCATCTTGATATTGGTTGACCTGTAATGGGCAATGGGCTTGCTTTAGGTTACTACTTGGAGGGGAGATAGATAACAGGTAAAAAAAACAACGGGATAGCATATTTGGGGAATTAAAAACAAAAACTTCATGGAAGAAAGAAGACTAAGCATGTTTTACTTTATAGCCAAGATAACCGCTTGGATATATCCATGATATCAGCAGATATTAAGCCCAATTCAAGGAGGATTTCAACAGTGACTTTTACAAATTATCTGCCTTTTTATCAGAAATATAACAGAATTTGGGGAATATATTCAATGACTTCTCAATAATAATTTTAAAAGGCTGTTCAAAAGCAGTAAAAATGTATTCAACATCCCATCTCATTGAATGCCATTTGTCCTTGCAGCATGAACACTGTTATGTGCTTTTAATAAGAAAAAGATTTTCCCAAAGCTACTAATCAGCAGCATATGTAGCATTTTAATTTTGGGATTTATTAAAGAGAGAGATACTTTTGGATTGGGGCTGTCACTTGGTTTCTGTGAAACATGCCACAGGTCATAACCCCAAAGTAGGAAAACTGAAAAACAAAACAGGTAGGATTAAGGCAAAATTTATATTAATTTAATTCAAATGTAAATGTAACTAATGTAGCATTAAATTGCATTAATTACATGTAATTAATAATTAATATTTCATACTTTCCCCTTCTGCCATCTCATATTACACTTTGGAGGAATGGCCCTGGACTCTGCAGGCGATCAAAGATTTATCTAATTCCCTCTCCCTAATTTCCAGATGTCTCAATTTAGTTCAGAAAGAAGTCAAGACTACTAGAAGTAGTAAATGCCATGCCTACTTCAGAGTTACTGGCCATATCTAGATGTTTTTAGCTCATTCTTGAGGGGTACACCATCTTCTTCACTGCTCCTACGTCTGTTAATTCTCTGCGTATAAAGGGATGGGGGAAATGTTTTCTGAGTTTTGATGGATTTTTCTGTTTAAAATATTCTAAAGAAACTTCAGAATTACTTATTTAATTGTAGAATCAATATCTAGCCATGGACCATTTTAATTTAGTAAGTGATATAAACAACTCAGCGTTACTAAAGAAATTTTTTAAAATTCTTTATCTTCATTATAATGGTTGAATCAAACAATTCAGCTACAGGTAGTCCTCAACTTGGCAATGTGATGGCTCAGTGGGTAAGTGCCATGAGACAGGTGGGGTTCCAATTACTCATCCCAGTTCCAGCCAACCTAGCAGTTCGAAAGCATGCAAATGTGAGTAGATAAATAGGTACAACTTTTGCAGGAAGATTACTTGCATTCCTTATTTTCATGCTGGCCACGATGATAGAAGTATCTGTCAAACAACACAGACTCCCTTGGCTGCAAATTAGAGACAAGTATCATCTCCTTGAGTTGGTCACTACTGAACAGGGGAAGTCTTTAGTCCTCGACATACAACCATTCATTAGTTGTCATTCCATAAGTTGCAGGAATATCTGAAAAGCTCAGGAGGTTCTTCAGCCAACACAACATATGTGCACACTTCAAACCCAATACACTAAGGCAAAAGCTTAAAACACCCAGACACAAACTGAGCAATGTGGTATACGCAGTACAATGCAGTGACCCATGTGCAGATCTCTACATTGGGGAAACAAAACAACCATTTCATAAATGCACGGCACAACATAGGAGAAAAAAATCCATCAGGATTAGATTCAGCAGTCCACCTGCATTTAAAAGACAAAGGTCATTCTTCTGAAGACAGCAAAGTCCACATTTTGGACAGAGAGGACTGCTGGTTGGAAATAGGGATCAAAGAGACCATTATGTCAAAATTGAACAGCCGTATCTCAATAGAGGAGGAGGGATAAACCTCCAAACAGCCTCAAAGACTCTCTGAAAGAATGCAAATGACTAACTGTTTGCAAGGAACATAAATCCTCCTTGGATGAAAATATTGGAAACCCAGATTTGTGTTTTGTCTCAGAAAGCCCAAACATGTAGCCACTTCCAGTAACTGGGAAAATTCTGGACAAATTTCCTCATGGTCAACATAGTCCTGTTTGCTTGCAATCGGAATTCAGATTCTCCTAATTCGCTCCATACCTAGACCCAGATGGAATTTTCATAAAGCCAAATGGCAGAATTTGCCAAAAGCCTTGACAGTATCATACAATGGATTCCACCAACAAGTCAACATTACCACAGCAAAGCAAGATACACATATTTTTAGTTTTTAAACTTGGGTTGAGAAAAAAATTGAAGGCAGTGATGGAACAAAGTAATGCTAAAAAGCAGATCCAAGAATGGGTCAGTAAATCCACACTGAAGTTAAATACATTGAATAGGAAATTAACTAAAGATTGTGCTACCTCAAGAACATCTAGGAACTATTTTTTTTAACTTCCTATTGAAAAGTATTACAGGTAATCTTTGACTTACAACAGTTCATTTAGTGACCGTTTGAAGTTACAATGGCACTGCAAAGTGACTTATGACCATTTTTCACGCTTATGACCATTGCAGCATCCCCATGTTACAAGATCTGCATTCAGATGCACGACATATTTATGATGGTTGCAGTGTCCTGGGATTATGTGATCATCTTTTGCCACCTGCTGATAAGCAAGGTCAATAGGAAAGACATTCACTTAATAACCATGTTACTAATTTAAGAACTGCAGTGATATACTTAACAAATGTGGCAAAACTCACTTAACAAGTTTCTCATCTAGCGGCGTAAGTTCTAGGCTTTATTGTAGTTGTAAATTGAATTACTTGTATTGTTAAAATTTGATTTAATTCTTTGCGATTTTCATGTAATCGAAATCATCTGAATTAACAGCATGCAAAATTGTTAATCTATCCTACAGAAATTTTATTCAATGGAAATACTTGCATGAGCAAGATAATTCTTTTATTAATAATAATAAAAAATAATAAATGATAATTCATTTTGGAAATCATACTGATTCATTCATAAATAATTACAAAATAGTATCATTCAGTATGCAAGAGAATAGATTTCTTTATTTGAATGCTCCACTCCAGGGGTGGGATTCTACCAGTTCGCACTTATTCACTAGAACCGGTTGTTAACATTCTAAGCAGTTCGGAGAACTGGTTGTTAGAAGAAATTACTGGCCTAATCCTGTAAGGAAGACAGGAAGGAAACATTCTGGTGTTGCTTACAGAAACTGCCTCTCCATTAACCCTTATTACATTCATGGCAGGACTAGACTTCCTGTCTCTGGAACTTCTCTGGAGTTTTTTTCCCCTCCTTTCCTGGGACTTTGCTTGTATGGGGTGACCATTCAAAGTTACAATGGCACTGAAAAAAGTGACTTATGACCATTTTTCACACTCACGACTGTTGCAGCATCCCCACAGTCATAAGAGGTCAGGCAAGAGATGCGTGCCTCAATATGAGTGATATTGAGTTGGCCACACCCAGCCAATAACATGACACCAAGCCATGCTCACCACGTAAGCCACGCCCACAGAACCGGTTGTTAAACATTTGGATCCCACCCTGCTCCACTCCAATCCCAGCATCTGAAATCAAGAAATGAAATGCCATTACAAATTACCATGATGCTGATTAATGTTGTATTAGTTACATTGAGGTTATAATTTTATAATTAAAACACTTCTGCCACACTTCCAAAATCAGTCACTATGAACTTTTGCATCCAATATTTCTGTTTAAAACTCTTAGGTGTCACTAAAGTTCATCCCATTCTGCTAACAAACAAAATATATAACTACATTCCCCACATTTCAACCTTAACAAGTGGGCTAGATCAGCTAATTCTACTTTATTGTACGACTACATTAACAGAATGATACAAGTCTGAAAGTACACTTCTCCCCACCATCTCCTTTACACTTGAGAAATTAGGATCTTCTGAGCCTCTTGCATTGCTCTCTAAACAACTGAGTACTATGCTGTCTCTTATCTGACCATTCCTTAGGTAGCATCTCTGGACCAGCCTCTCAAAATTATTCCTATACCAGGGATGGGCAATTAATTTTCCCAAGGGGCCACCCGAGAAGCTGGGATTATGTAGAAGTCCTCTACCACTGCCCCCCGACGACGCCCTGCCCCAATGTCATCCGCACAGAATGATGCTGCACTGCTGCTCTGGCTGGATGTGGCCCACAGGTCATGAAATGCCCAGGTCTGCTATATACCATCACATATTTACATCATAAAGGACAAGCTGGTTTTTCAACTGTTGTTCCAGATCAATTTATGCTAATAGTACAGGTCCTCAAGTTATAATTTTAATGGAACCAGTAACGAAGTTGTTATGGTCATAAAAAGGATCAATCCCACAACCAACCTGATTTTATGATCTTTTTCATTAAGTGACTTTTATTAAGCGAACCTATTGTTCACTATAGGGCAGTTTTGCTGAGTCTCTGACATATCGTCACATGATCATTGGGATCTGGAATTGGGTCATAAGTACTTCTGGAGAGGGCTAAGCATCTAGTTATGAATTATATCAGACTAAACTTTATTAAACCTCAGATCAGTTCCTCAATTCTATATCTCCGTTAGAATTATTTAATCAGAATGTATTGAATTAAGGAAACAAAGTCTACTGAGCCAGATGTGTAACAAAATTTGGGAATGATCTTGGCAGAGAATGTGTGAAGGAGTACTGACTAGGGAATGATTAGATGAAGAGAGAGAAGCCTGTAGTTGAATTAAGATCAATTAAAGAAACTTAGAAAGGATCTATCTTATCTAATCAGATGATAAAAAGATAGCAGAAAATTTGTACTTTCAGATTTGCAAATTTCTACCTATCTAACATACAGATAGCTTTGTTTTCTGTCTGGTCTACTTAGGAGGCTAATAAATCTAACAGGAAAATAATTACACTTCACAATAATTTATGTATTCTTTGCAGTACTCTATTTAAAAATGATTTTTACTTCTCCAGGATCTATTCTGCAAAATACTATGGAAGCATGCTTTTTCCCTAAATTTTATCATACAGCAAAACTGCAGTCTTTGAACAATCAGACTACACAAGTGTGATTAACATTTTATTAAATAAACAAAAAATATACAAAAAATAAGAGAAATGGGAGAATAAAAACCAATAAACATTTCAGTTGGCAATCTACTGAGCAATTGAAAGCAATATTTAAGATCCAACACTAGAGTCTCTGCATATATAGTATCTCTTCCCTTCTGCTTCTACTTATGGATAGCCACTGGAACTCATGGCCTCTGGAACATAGTTATTACACATGCCTGGAATGTAATATCAGGCAACTCCTGTAATATATTGTATTTAAAACTTGACACTTCTAAAATATAAAATTCTGAAACTCCCTTGAACCAAAGAAAATTAAGGTGAACAATTCTGACAATATGCATTCCACATTTCTGGAAATAAAATCTCCTAAGAGAAACTCACAAAAATATTTTTATCAATATGAGTTCTTTAAGTTTATATTAAGTTTTAAACTATTTTGTAAAAAAATACCATCATAATAGAATGTATAAACCATCAGAATGTAGAAAATACCCACAAAAAATATTTATACCCTAACTGCAAACAGTAGAACTAGAGGCCATCTGACCAAAAAAGGGATTCCCATAATTCTTCAGTTTTTAAGCAGATTCAAGAATTGTGGATTCAAGCTTACATTAGAGATTACTTTTCTGGAAATAAGATAATGTGGTTGTTTATATTAACATACAAATCTTTCACATTTTCCAATTATGTTAGTTCTCCCACATAAACATTAAAAGCAGAACCTATAGCTATTTCTCTAATGATAATTTAAATCAAATTATCTGTAACCATTGGGAATAAATATGCACTCAAATGCTGTCATCTGAGTATGTCAGTCTCATCTAAAATATTTCAGACTTGAATGCACATAGTTTATAGACAGGTACTAAACAACAAGATATTTTCTCACTCATTAATTAATTAAATCAGAGGAAGAGCTGCTTCAAGTAATATATTGCCTATCCTGAAATCTATTTTTTATTTCCATGTTTTAATTACAAGATATAAGACATTTCCAGCAAGGTTTTACTAGGCAAATTATATATTTCAAGCAGAAGAAAACAGAATGAAGACAAAAGCTTCAATATAGCCTTCCCTTGTTTGTTGTCTATTATGCAAAAATATCCATATATTGCAAGCAGAAGTCCAGTAAATGTATAAAAAGAAAAACTTAAGAACATCTTTCAAATTAATTAGATAGAATGGAATTTCCCTTCTGTTTAACATTTGATAACCTCTTGAGTTTTTCAGAAGTGCAAAAGAGTTTAATGTTTTATATTTAGCTAGGCACTTAATATTTTCCCAAGTTTGCATGAAAGCTACTACTGCAAAACTCATTTACTGCAGTTTCTCTTCTCCCATGCAGTGTTTACATCAATCAGGTGATTAAGACAATACTTCTTTTTTAAAATTTGTCACTTCTGTTAGTCAGTTCCCTCTTTTTTTGTTTGTATTATTCAGTTGTTTCTAAGTTATCTGAGACATAGTGAAGACAAGTCTTCGCAAACTCAAAAAGTTCCAAGTTTCTTACTCGGAAATTAATTGCTCCATAAGCATATTTCCTAGTTGTCAAGCAAGACGTTCTGTAAAAAAGCACAGAAGAATATATGAAGGAATTTGATAGCTCAGAATCATCACCTGATAATCTCTGACATATATTAACTTCACAACATCCATGACAGCAGGTATCAAGACAATCTTGGCAGATCTTCAAAAAAGCTAAGATGGGCTGACCTGTAGGAAATCCCTGGGCAAAAAACTAGCCAAGAAAACCCCCTCCCCCCAAAAAAACAAACTCCTCCAGACCACGCCAGAAGATGGTAATGGAAAATGGTAATGGTAATGGAAGATGGTAATAGAAAATTACCATCTTGTATTGTTGCCAAAAAATATACCCACATGGATGCAAACTTTATTTGAGGGAGAGTCAAATTTTTATCCCCATTCTATCTCTATGCCAACAATTAAAAAAAAAATCTTTCAAGATCTCTGCAAACAAAGTAAGTTTTATAACTTGTATTAGCATTGCACATAAATACCCCTTGTTTTGTTATTTTAATCTTGTGATTAAAGTAGTTTTAAGTTATGTGACCTGACATGGTAAATCTTTGAAATATTTCTAGCAATATACAAACTAAATATGCTAACTTTACTATAAAGCTGCTGATTCACCCTTACTGTCCTTTTTTGTTGTTATCCTCACAACATTTCGCACAATAAATATTTCTGATAATCTGAAGACTTTTTATGTCTCATAAGTTAAAACAGAATATTAAAACTGCTCAGAAAACCTGCTGCTCAAAGACAAAACTATAGGGGGTTGAAATAAGCATGTAGTCTATTTTATAAATATTATATTACAGACAGTGATTTAAAAGACTGAAAATCAAAAATTCATGGACAATTTTGTATTACAATCTTATTAAACCATTGTCTTAAATACAGGTAACTGTACACAAGTAAGGGAAACAAAAATATTGAGGATTCAGTTTTTGTGCAAGAAATTTAAACAAGGGGGGCGGGGGCTGAGGAAATTTAAGATGTTAAGATGGTTGAGGAGTTATGATCTTAAAATGTTAAGAACTTTAGGGGAAACTACTAAATAATATAAAAGAAAACAGATAAGAGGGAAATAATTAAGATTAGTAATAATTCTCACATTGCAAGTTAGAAATAAAAAGTTATGTATCTGAAAGGATAGCAATTTACACTATCAGTATTCAGATTTCTCACAAAAAGCCTCAATGGGACTTAACTAGTCATGAATTTACATCTCTTGCTTTGGTTGGAAGAAATATCCATCTGGTTCAATTCCAAACCGGGAGAAAAGATACTGGAAACATGGAGGATGATTGGAAAGATGGTTTCATGATGAAGCAGAACCATCAAGTACATGGCTTTGGTTTTGCTTTATCATCAAACCATCTTTTCAATCAGCCTCCATGTTTCCGGTGACTTTCTCTCGGCTTGGAACTGAACCAGATGGATATTTCTTCCAACAGTTTGACACCCCAAGATGGGACTCTAGACTAACTTGACCAACGGACCTGGCTCAGGTAAGCCTCCTTTGCTGGCATAGGCCCATCGAGTCTGTGTGTGGATTTCTGTAGGTTGTCTGAGAAGTTTGGTTGAATTTCTGAGGGTGATGCAATGTTCTTAGGAGATTGTGCAATGTAATGAGCCCTGCTGCTAGTGGGTTAATTCTATTATATCCTGGAGGGTCATGTCTTAATCCCATCATCCTAGAGCTAAAGGTCTTTTGTTTTGTAGAAAATTTCAATATATTTACTTCAACTAAAACTAAATCTAAGAAAACATTTTTTCATACCTTTTCCTTTCAACTGTGTGAAGAGGAGAACACATTCTTTATTCAAGAGATTACGTATATTGTATACATTCCCTACAATGAAAGTTTCCATTATAGAATGAATAATTCAACTGTTTTAAATAAGATGCATCATTACTTAGTCAAAACACATTTAGACATTCCTCTTAAGCATTTCAATATTAAATAACAAATCCCTTGTAAATTTAATTTACCAGAATAATCTGTTTATTTTTTTTTCATGAACTAGCTATCAAGTATTCATACATATGTCTCCTGGTGTCCTTGCTGTTTGATTTGGAATTTTTAACAACTAATGGAGTAATGAACTAGAAATTCCTATTTTGCTTAGATTATGGGGAAGAGGGGTTAACATCAATATTCAGATTCTTCGATAGATCTTGGATTACATTTTTATCTGGCCTCATTCTACATTGTTTATACAAAAAGGTCTTGAGTAAGAATTAATGTTAATATTCTCATTTCATATCCTTTTGAATTATATTCCTCTATTTTATTAAGTCTTCCTTGACTAGGCTGTAAAAAAGAAAGGATGGAAGGAAAACTAAAATTGACAGCTGAACCTATAGACTAAGAGTGGATTAGACCCCTTTCAGATGGCTGAAATACTTAAATAAAAGGCTAAGAAGTATAAAATATTTTTGGAAAAAAATTATGTTAGTGAACTCAGTCTTTTGTCAGACTGTAAAACTTTAAAGCAGTAGGAATTCAGACTAGCACTCTTTTAAAAAAAATGTTCATGTTAATCTCTTCTCATATTTCTTTCAATTATATGTCCCTAGAACAAAAGAATAAAACAATGACTTTCATACTTCTATAATGGATATTTTTAAAAGCTTTTAAAAGTTAATACAGCTGTGCAATGGTTTGGATTTGGTTCCAATATGCTTCCAAAGAAAGCTTTGAGTGTACAGATAACATCTCTCTTCTTCTTAATATTTCTCACAGGTGCAGAGTCCAATTTCTGTACTGACAAATACCATTCCACATGATCAAATACAGTAACTGGCTAGTTCAACAGGATGCTTTTCATTCCCATGTTGTGTCCTACCATCTTTGATCTTCTGTACTGGCATTTGTCATGGATGTTAAAGGGGTAGTCAGTGCAGGCAACAGTGTGGTGTACCCCTGGTGAATGCAGTGTGGCGATAACACTATGGACATTTTCCCCATTTTCTTCTATTGTTTGAATGTCCATCTGCTACCAAAACTGTATCGTTGCTGACACGGTCAAGAAAGAAAATACCTAAGGGCCAATGAACATGCACATCCCATGGGATGTAAAGGGTGCTTAGCATTTTTGGGGATTGGTCACCACTCAGCAACATATAGATCTATTAAACAGACCATTTTATACTTTTGGTGAATTGGCATATGCCTATCGCAGAGCAATCCAATGATTTCTACAAACTATTATGCTGCATTCATCCTTGTGCACATTGCTTCATTAATGCAACTATATTTTGCAGATGGGATCCTAAGTAATAGAAGTTTGTTTTCATCACTGCTGACTTGAGTGGTGGTGGTGTTCAGAGTAGTTTCTAGACACTCAGTCTTGAGTTGCAAACCCAGTTGACTAAGAAAGTCATTCCATATCTAGACATAGCACTGCAGGTCTTCCATAATGCCAGCTTTGAGAAGACATTGTCATATAGAGCGGAGGTGTCAAACTCAATTTCACTGAGGGCCGCATCAGAGTTGTGTTTCACCTTGGGGGGGCATGGCCAGGGGGTGTAGGCATGGCCAGCATGATGTCATTTGTGTTGGGGGATGCCTGTGGTGGCCCGAGCACTCTGCCAGCAAAAATGGGTTCCCAAACTCCATTTTCAGCTGCAACAGCCTCCTGCAACCCTCTGTCAGTGAAAACAGAGCTCAGGAGGCCTGCGCATGGTCCTCCCAAGCTCCATTTTCACTTGCAGAGGCATTGTGGTCCAGTCCTTCACTATTTCAAGAGTGGCTATGTGGGCCAGATCTAAGAACGCCAGCCCTTGAATTTGACACTCCTGGTGTAGAACAAAACCCAGAGAGTACTGTGATACAAATTTTGTGTAATGGCAACCATCACAAGAATGAACAGCAATTCTCATTCACGTAACATCTTTTTGCAACTGTTTAAAACAGCTGTGTCCTTTCTCAACTACAAACTATATATAAAAACCCTGCTCCATCCTAAATTGTTAGTGAAATTGGTCTAGAAGTACAATCAGATTATAATCTTGTGCAAATTTGTTTTGAGTTTGGAACAAATTAATCTGAATTGTAATGCTTTGAGGTTGGTTATGTTCTAGTAGAACAATACTCTAAGCAACTTATATTATCTGTTAGACTGAAACTCAGAAAGTTTTGAAGAGTTTGCCCTGAAGAACTTGTGATGAAAAGCAACTGATGCATTATCTTGCAAAAGATTTACTGATTTAAAGAGATGCAAACATGGATTGTTTACCTCCCATGTGAATCCAAAACATAGCAGACTCCTAAAAATATTTTTGTTAATTTCTTATAAACAGATATACAGCAGATGGAATGAACTACTTCAAATCTACTCTAATGTTCTAAGGGTCAAAAATAAGAGGGAACAGACAGAAAATCAAACAGCTTTGTTTTTAGTTCTCATTGCTTTCTGTGATTGGCACACTCAAAACTTTTCCAAAGAACATCTAAACTTTCGAAAGAACAACTTTCAATATTTTTTTCTGGTAAAACACAGTCAATTCAAAACATTCCAGATGAGATTCCTTGTACATTTTCCAGAAATGATATGGCACCACATCTAATCCTAATCAGTACCTGTTCCCATGCCTTGTATGAAAGACAGAAAATATATACAGTACATACCTACAAGGAAGACAGCATTCATCTTTCTTATGAATAGAAGCCATTATTCTTGATCATACATATATGCATAACACAAGTAATACAGGTAGTCTTTGACTTACAACATTCGAGTCCAAAATTTCTATTGCCAAGCAAGATAGTTTTAAGTGAATTTTGCTTCATTTTACATTTTTTTTGTCACAGCTATTAATGAATCAACATGATTGTTAAATTAATAACTTAGTTGTTAAGTAAATCTGGCTTAAGTAAATCTGCAGAAAAAACAATTACTACCCACCTGCCTTCAATCGAGGACCTGTATACTGCACGAGTCAAAAAGAGGGCTGTGAAAATATTTACAGATCCTTCACATCCTGGACATAAACTGTTTCAACTCCTTCCCTCAAAATGACGCTATAGAGCACTGCACACCAGAACAACTAGACAAAAGAGCAGTTTTCCCCCGAAAGCTATCACGCTAAACAAATAATTCCCTCAACACTGTTCAACTATTTACAAAGTGTGCACTACTATTACTGTTAATCTTCTCATCACTCACCACCCATCCCCTTCCACTAGTGATTGTAGGACTGTAACTTTGTTGCTTGTATCCTTACGATTTATATTGACTGTTTCCTAGTATGATTTGATTGTTGATTGTACCCAATAAGTGTTGTACGTTATGGTTCTTGATTCTTAATGAATGTATCTTTTCTTTATGTATACTGAGAGTATTTACACCAAGACTTGTGTGTCCAATCACACTTGGCCAATAAAGTATTCTATCTATCTATCTATCTATCTATCTATCTATCTATCTATCTATCTATCTATCTATCTATCT